GGGAGCTTTGCATACTACGTCAGTGTGTGTGTGTGTGCACCCATTCAAGATGTTTTGAGTTACTTTTTATTGTATTTGTTTACAGTTCAAATTACTTGGACTTGAAAAAGGCATATTAAGTTCCAACTTACAGCACCAAAAATGATATGGTATTCTCACACAGATGTTTACATTCATTGTGCCTGGTTTAAACGCTGTCAGAAGATAAAAGTTATAGGTTGCACACGCTCTTCCCTACAGACAATGGTTTAATGTTTATAATTTCCCCTTCCCCAGCAATGTCCTGTTTCCAGTTCTCCAGTCTAATAATATTAGTTGACATCACATAATCTCCAGCATGGCTCCACCTATCATTAACCAGAACTGAGGTCTAATCAGCTAATAACTGAAATACCTGTGTGGGCGTGCAGTGAGTTTTTTCTTCTCTTTTGTTTTTTACACAAGGTTTCCTAATTGCCTAACATCTATATCATAGTTTTTGCAAGAGTTTAACTAAAAGACATTCATTGAATCAGCTGAGACGTGCGAGTGGAACATGACTACTTAATGTCATTTCCATCCAGTTGAAGTGAAAGCTTGCTGTGGTGAAATATGTCAATGTGATCACTTTAATGCAGAGGGCTGAATTTAAAAAGTAATCAAATAGCCCCATTGCATTGCAATGACTAGATATAGTTAATAACCATCTAACAGTTGAACTACTACAATCAGGATTCAATGCTCCTATTTGTCACAAAATCATATTTTCTATTATGTGCTGTGAAATGCAAGGGTAGCATACTCAAGAGCAGTGGGTTCCAATCTGGTGGTCGGGGCGCACACTAGGGGTCGCCATCGTCCTTCAGTAATAAAGTATGCAGTTGTAACAACCAAAGAACTAACAGAACAAACATCAGGGAGAAGAAAACACTGAATTTGTCAAAAGATAAGCCTATTAAGTATTAAAAATTTAAAAAAGACATAATACAGACAAAACTCTACAAAGAGTTCCTAAAAATATCAGGAAAACGTATCTCTGATGAATATTCACAGGAAATTATCTCAAAATTCATCCAAATTGTTAATCTCACACAAACCTCTTACAGTTATTACATTCACGTTTTACTGTGTATATCATTGGTATGCATTGAATATAAAATGTCCATAAAATATGTAATTTAGTTTGGGGTTGTCAGTTTAGTCAATGATAGAAAAGGGATCCCTTAAGGAAAAAGGTTGGGAACAATGAGTAAGAAATACGCACACACACACACACAAATAAGTCAATATCTCACAGTTGTTTGTTTCAATAAATCTTTTATAGAAACATGACAGAGTCTTTCTGTATCTCTGAACAGTGCAATCCACTACTTTCCTCCATAAAGCTAAACACGGGAATTAACAGATTATCATGAATTATCAACACCACTCTAAACACTCTTGACTATATGGATTTCATATACTTGACATGAAAGCATGGACAGTGGGTTAGGTGGTCACACTAAGCGACTAATATCTACATCAACGTTGACCTTACACATACAGTACAGACAGCAGAAGTAGTGCGAGACATTGACACAACCTCCAGTATGTGAACACGTAAGGAAGTTTTTGGTAATAGGTTTGTGTTACCGTTGTGTGCAGTCACTTTCAGCTCAACCACCTCAACCAAAACAATCAACGGCGAATGGCAAAGCACTTACAGAAGGAATTCTCAAAAGGTTTTCTTCATGTAAAAGCCCTTTCAACTTCTAAATACCCCAAAAAAAGTTCAATTGATTGAAATGAAAGTGACAAAAATTGGATTTGCGTGTAAAATGATGTGTATGTCTGAGGGTGTGTATGAGATCAGTAGCTCAGTTATCAGGCAGAAAGCATCACACCTCACAGCGGGTACACACAGACTACTCTCTGTCACTCTCTAACAATAAAACAAAAGCCTGTCGTTGGATGGATCAAATCCCGCTGCTGCTCCTGTGTGTTCTCTGCAGAAGTCAGTGTGTGTTCTGGTTGACCTCTAGCAGTCGCAGGAACGACCTGCAGACAGACAGACAGACAGGAAGGAAGGTCAGTTTAAATATTCAGATGGTTAACTTTCCTTTTGAAAATGTGATCAGTAACATAAAACGCTGGGTTATACAAACTTAATCTATTACGTTATTAAGTTGTTTTTAGATACATTTTTCAAAATTCAAGTTAAAGAACATATAGTCATTCATACTGTGTTTTGTTCATACTTTATAATTTAATTTATTTATATTTTATAACCATGATCTACAGCCAAGAAATCACCTTTTCTTCATTAAATCCACATTATATATTTTTTCAAATGTTGTAGTGGAGCTTGTTTTTGCAGGAAATCATAATTATTTTTCATTTTTGTACTCAAATTATAAAAACCTTATCAGAGTATTTATTTATTAACTTTATATGTATACTTAATGTATCATTGGCATTCCCAAACCACACAAACACAATCTTTTGTCATTCGTTAAAATTGCTTATTCACATTTGTATCAAGCATTAAAAACCATTAAAAGCTGTATGTGGAGAATGAGGTGAAGAATGAACACACTCACACAGAGAGAGAGAGAGACGAGAGAGAGAGAGGAGCCCATGCAAGCTGGAAATTGCCGATCAGTGCAGTGTGTCCCTGTGGCGCCTGCCTTAACAGTACTGATACACACACACACACACAGTTATTTTTTCCCATACTATTCCCACCTGCGGTATTTTGGGTGGTACATCAAAGCTGTTAAAATCAACGACAACCTTGGTTTTTTCAGGAGCCATCATCCCAATTCCCCATCTGAACTTGAGGCTCTCAAAAACTACAATGTATTGAAGAGAATAAAGATGGCATTACAACCAGGAATTGGTGGAGCTTTGCAAAGAGATGAACAGATGTAGGTTGTCTTTTCCATTGCAAGGAGGGCCTCACTTCAAATGGTACCAGTGCATGGCGAGTGTAGGACGGTTTCTTCTGAGTTTTGCACCCGTAAATTAGGACAACCTTGTTGATATCCTCTACCTCTGCTGCCAAATTCTTCTCCTCTTTTTGGGTCTGGAATATCTCTTACTTAGTGCTAGGCTTTTCAAGCAGCGTCCTAACGGAAGTCTCCGCTCTCTGTCGGAGGTAACAACGTAGCGTAATCATGCGGTAGAGAGGTCCTCATCTTACAGAGGTGATCCGGGCGGACACAAAATAGGCTGGTAGCGAATAGGCTCTTACCACGCGACGCAGTGTTTAACCCTTGTTGGCCCTTAAATTGGTCTCACGTCATAAAAGACACATCGTTTTTCCCAATGGGATAAGCAAAACACTGGTTGATTACATGTATGACTTGTTTATCAATGTGTTGTTATTTTTTGTCCTGCAAGTTCGTAATTTTTCCATTTTTGTGTGGTGATTTTCAGCCAAAGAGAGCCACGCTTTTAATGGCTGCAACCGCAACATATAAAAAGGGAGTGCCTCCCTCCTTCTCTGCCTGCCAGCACCCGGTCCACCACCTGTTTGAACAGTGAGGATGGCAACTATGGCTTTTGCTACTCGGGAGCTTTGCATACTACGTCAGTATGTGTGTGTGTGTGACATGAGGTCGTTTACAGTGAAACAGATGGACAGAGTAAATATAACTTTAGACCTTGCAGAATGTAAACAGGGTGATGAAATCTTGAATATGTGTATCTTGCAGTCCACATACATGTCTACTACAAATGCAGTATTGTTTTGTGTCTGTGGTTAGAAGAGACATTTACAGTACAACCACAACTACAAACCTTCCTTTGCAGGTCAATAAATATTTTAGTAGAACTGAGTTACTTTAAACTGAAGTGAAACCAGTGAATAACTCATGTATTCAGCTGCAAGGACGTCCTTAACTTAGCTTTTTATTACACTCACAATGAGGGATGAGAGGATTTATGATGTCATAAGTTGATAATGGTGAATTTCCATTATTGGGATAACCGTGAACATCCTCACATGAATGAAAAAGCTGTCTAGCTGGCTAAAGTATAGTCCAATATTGATTTCCTGATTTATTTTGAACTGCCAGAGGGAGGAGCCCACATCTTTGAAGCCATTCCTCTCCTATCCAAATCCCAAACCTGTCACCATGGCTGCTTGCCCACTGCATCCCCCGTAAGAAACTAGATGTGTGGAAATACTATGCATACCAAACTAAACAACGACAGAGAGATGAGGCGTCCTATATATGATGCAATATTTGTTTATAAACAAATTGTGAGGTTTTAGTGCTTTTTAAAAAGTTTTAAGTTTTAATTTGACGATCATCAGGATAATAGCGTGAATCGCATTTATTTTAGCCAGGACACACAGAATCGTCCCACGACAGTTGATATGGTAACGAACATTACCTTGGTCGGAGAGCATCTGCTGGGCATTTTCTGTATTCCTTCTGCAAATAGAACCAAAAACAGAGTAAGAGCAGAGAAAAACCAAAGACTTCCATGATTTGTGTGTACCATTACTTAGTTAACTTAAGGTACACGATCCTTGGAACTTTGTAATACATAGTACTTTTACAATATAATATAAAATGTGTAACTGTATGAAGCATCACCTCTTGCCCTGGTTGAACTTGCACCTGCAGTGGCCACCTGGAAAAAGAGAAAAGATGCATTGGCTTTCTTTACATCTGTGTATTTGAGCATTTATGACTATGTATATGTGGAAGAGTGTGTGTGTGTGTGTGTAATTTGCATCTTACTGAACAGGATGGTGATGCCAATGAGACAGAGGACAGCAGCCAGAATCAGGCCTCCAACACGCAGTCTGTGGTAGTCTGCACAAAAAAAGGTCATGGTTAATAAATAGAACTAATAAAAAAAGAAATGCATCCAAATAAAGAAACATTAGTAAATTACACAAGAAAACACCTTCAAAAGTAAGGTTAAGAATGAGCAGTAAAAGATTATTACACAAAACAACTAAGCACAGATCATCATCCTCGTTCATTGCATTTTCAAATTATAGTGAAAATGAGTTAAAGAATGAATTACCAAAGGTAAATGGGTCATCTTCCACCGCTGGAACAGAAATTGAAGAGGGTCAGTTGGAGGAACAGCAGATCAATGAAAAATTACAGAAACATTCACGTATCAAACAGTGACACAATAAAGTCAACAGTACAAAGTGAGACGGGCAAACACAATGGCCTAGTTCAAAACTCTTGCTAATGATTGACATACGCAACCATCAAATCAATACCTTTCCAACATAACCAATTTTAAGCACAAATGTAAAAGGAAAAAAAAGAAAGAAAAAAGATCAATGGGTCTCTTACTATTTTCAGATATAAATATCAAAGTCCTTTTTGGATGAACTCTAGTAACAGTTTTACTGAAATATTTACTGTAGTTGGAGGTGATGATTTAGGAAAAGTCATATTATATACTTACAGTTCTGTTCTTCAGCAAACACCAGGGACACAACTGAGAGTTCAGAAAGAGAGACACACTTTAAAAAGAGTGAAACATAATAATAAACATTTTGTTTATTAGGGACTATGAGGGTGCAAAATGAAGAATTTGGAAAGTATCATTCATGTGGTCTACACATGACACTAAATATACTAATATAATATAATATCAATAGGTATAGTAATAGCTTTTTTTGGTAAAGTGTCATTTAGAAAAGGCTGATAAATGAAACTGTCAGTGTCAATGAATAAACCACCTCTTAAAAAGCTCTTAAGTCTTTGTTATGGTTATTGGAAATCCAGATCTGTTTAGAAATGTTACATAAACCTCTCTCTGTTTCATCTCTCTTCGTGAAGGAGCAGTGGATGTTGTTCCCCTCACTTTTTCAGCACCGTAACTGTACAGCACCTCATTTTCCATCTTATTTACAGTGTTAGGCATTGGCTTTGCTGATAGGACACATAATCACATCACACACCCAGACGCTTCAAAATGAAGAGTGAAGGGGCAACCAGACTGCCAGTGATGTGATGATCTCTCTGACCACTCATCCACCCAGTTGCCTTCTGTCTCATCTCAGTCGCGGAACAATGTGTCACAAGAATATAAATACTTGAGCAATGTGCTGATGGGAGACAGAGCGTGAGCCACAGTTCCCTCTGTAAAGAGGAAGTGGAGCTAATAGCTCAAAAGTCCTCGTTGATGTAACATTAATAATGTTCAGTGGCTCTTTGGTTGACTAAAACTCATCAGTTCACTGACAATGGATAAACAGATTTGCTCTTGACTTTTAAAAAGAGGAAGTTGCTAACTTTACTGAGTTCTTGGATTTTTCTTAAGAGTTTTACTCACATGTCATCAACACCAAAGCACCGATCTTTGACATCTTCAAGCTCGATGTTGTTTGCCTGTGGAGATAAATACAGATACTGATATCAACAACAATATCACCGACAATTAAGAAGGTAATTAGACTGATACTAATATTTTTGTGTGCAGCTTTACACTAAGTTAGTTGCCAAAACCTTCAGAAACAAAGATATTAACTAAAAATCTGTGTCTGTACTTGTTACTTATGTTTGTGTGTGGACTGAAAACATTAACTACAAATTGTGGTGCACTGATGGGCTACTGAACAAAGCTCGAACTGTATTAACACAGGGTAAATAATATTATCTCAAGTCCCAATGGCACTAGTAATGAAATTTTAAAGATCTGTGTCCATATTAGAAAGCTGATTACTGTACTCTACACTGGCTTGTACCAGCCAACAGAGTCAACAGAGAGACCTCAAGCAACATTTAGCCTTTCTGTGTTTCTAAAAGGACGTAAACACACAAACGAACTCATCACTCACACACAACATGCATCCGCTCCCTCAGAAGCACACGCAAAGACACCTGATCTGAGTTAGACAGGCATAAAGTGGTCTCTGTTGCTCTCTTTCACACCCAGACACACACGGAAACTTGATCTTATGTTGATGGGTACAAGGTGCTCTAATGGAGCCAGAACAGGATGAAGAAGATCTCTGTGGGTAATGCATCACGCTGCTGCTAGGTCAAAGCTTCAGTCTTCTTTTTTCTTGTCTCAGTGTTTCTTTTTAATTCCCTAGAGGGTTATTCCATCACATAAAATGTACAGTACGTACGCATCCATGCAGATGTCGTCACCCTCTGCTACTGTCCAGATGTTCTTCATTTATTTTTTACAAAATAGATTTCACTTGCAGGCCAAAAAAATCCATGAGAATTTTATCAAAGTGCACTCAGCCTTCCAGAGATATTCCTGTCTGTAATGTCATTTTAATCTTATTTCTAGCGTACATTAGTGTATAGATGGTTAGCTTTTTGAAGTGCCATCAGTCAGTGGAGATACCTTTATTTTCCAATGCCTGATAATCGTTAAAAATGACAAAAAGCTCTCTTAAATACTTCCAGTCAAGGTTTTACCATTCTCTCCTGACACTGGGTCATAATTTACAGTAATCTGATTTATATCATCCTTAATCAACCTGTAAACTTCCCGACAGCTGAAATTACATCCCACACATTGTCTGTGTCCACGCTGTGTTAGCTGCCATGTGGAGGCAGCCGCAGAGGCAACGTGTGCACTGGGAGGAGACACGCCTTAAATAACACAGCAGTGACTTTCCACTTACTGCACCTTTCCGCTCTGAGCATACCACTATGAAGAGCAAACCCACCTGTTCACATTTCAGCCTGGCATTTACACACAGGGCGTGAGAATTCACACAGACATGCATGCGTTAAAAACTGCGCCGTACAGCAGCATTTCTCCTCTTTTATCTGAAGCTTTTCCTGTTTGAGAAGGACAGTGGTAATTGGAGAGAACACGCGAGTGAAAATAGGATTTGTGAGTAGGTCCCCGTTTTGCATCTCATGCATGGTAAACAGCATGTTTGTTAGACCTCAAGGATTAACACACAATGCTCTGTGGTGAGGAACACTGAATGTGAACTAGGCCTTCAGATATGAGGAAATTCTGCCACGTGCGATAACACTGTTCCAAACTGCGATGACGATGTGACTTGCGATAAATAAACAAATACTGAAGAGTGCAAATTAGCTATTCAGTTTGTATGCTTCTAGCTAAACAGGCAGCTTTTATTTTGGTAACAATTGGCTGTTACCCGAGCTAGCGCGCTGTGCTTGTGTAAACGATAGCGGTGGTGGATGAGAGAAAGCCCTTCTCTACAGATTTACATGTGGATGCTTGTTGACCAGTGTTGGCTTTTTAACAGTTTTATTGCACTTACCTCACACACACTTACTGTGTGTATGTGGAGGAGCTGCGGCCGCGACAGGGAGCAGACAGGAAGGGGCAGTCTGCAGAGCAGGACAGCTGTGCAGACAGACACGGCTGCAGCACCATACATCAATACTGAATACTGGATTTCTTGTACCCATCCGTTCATAACACATTCATTTTTTCTTATCCACTTTGTCTTTGTCTTTTTGCGAATGTGGTGCATATCAACGACTGATGGCTCCTTCAGAGAGGGAAATACAAGGAACAGCATTTCACTTTCTAGCGGACTTACCTGTGTTGGTAAGTTAGTTGTTATAAGTAATCTGTACAGCAGCGACCTTGGAGACCACCCAGGAGATCCAATTAAACGGAGGATCTAAGTAAAACAATGTTGTGTCCCTGCCTCTTGCTGCTTGGTACTTTGGAACTTGGCAGAACGAGCAAAGAGAAGAGCGGGGCGATGGGCTTCTTCTCCCTGGTGCCTCGTCCACAGCAACCCAAGGCGAGGCAGGAGAATTGAGGAGGATGGGAAACCCAGCGCCAGACAAGCACTATGAGAACGGCTTGACCTCGAGGAGAAAGGACACACACAACAGCGAAAGTGACGGAAGGAAGGGCAAAAAAAACAGAAGCAGGAGAGGAGAGAAAGACAGCGACGGGAGACGAAGACGCAAGAGGCAAACTGAGGGTGAGACCATTGGAAAATGGCAGAGAGCAGAGGAAGAGAAAGGTAGGAGAGAGTGGAAGGGGTTGAAGAGGACAGGCGGGGGGGGAGACCAGGGAAGCAGGAGAGTATTAAACGACGGGTGCGCCTCCCTCTTCCTTACTTTAAGTCCTATTCTAAAGCCAAATGTCTAGTGGAAAGGTGGAACGCCAGCAGGTGACGTGGCTGGAGCATGTATAGCCACACTGCCCTGGTTCGTGAGGGGTGCAGTTCCCTCATTTCTTCTCTCTTCTCCTGCCCTCTTACACTCGTCGAGCCTGCCCTTATTCATCAACACACTTATTTACCACTAAACATTCCAACACCTAATTTCAAA